ATAACAATAACTGTAATTAATTTAAACTTGCTAATTTATTCTTGTGTTAAAAAATACTTTGTAATCTAAATATGCATGTCTTGCAAACATTAATTAATAAGATATGATATCTTAAAAAAAAAAATTTTAATTGGTTCTGTCTTCTTCAAATTCAAGCTAATAAATTATTAAGTTTTGTACACAATATCCTGACGAATGTTCTAAAATATTTCGAAACAGAAACATCCTAATTTGAATAAATGTTGTATAGTACTATACAATCTAATGTAAATTACTAAAATCTTATACTCTTTTTTTTTTGGTCATCAGAATTCACAGCATTAAAAATATTAGAACTTATAAATTTGCATGTTCAGACGAATATGAATTATATAAATTACCTTTAAAAAGTAGATGAATTCAAACATTTTTGATTAAATGTAGCTTTATATTGTAGTTATGAAACTTAATTAATTGACTCATAAAAATTTATAAACATTTATTGGAATTAAATTTATTTAACATAAACTTGACATACTTAAGTCTTATTTAATTTAACTAAAATAATTAACAAATTTGACGCAAGTCGTTCTTAGTATGTTGTAAGTAAATACCAGAATTTTCATTGCAGTGATCTTCACGTACCATGGGTTTGATTAGTTTCGTTATTAAAATGAGTTAAACAATTCTGATTTAATGTAACTTTATTTAGTAGTTATGAAACTTAATTAATTGACTCATAAAAATTTATAAACATTTATTGGAATTAAATTTATTTAACATAAACTTGACATACTTAAGTCTTATTTAATTTAACTAAAAAATTAAACAAATTTGACGTAAGTCGTTCTTAATATGTTGTAAGTAAATATCAGAACTTTTATTGCAATGATCTTTATATACCATGGATTTGATTTGTTTCATTATTAAAATAAGTTAAACTATAATTTTATTTTGCATAAAAGAAATATTTCTTTGCTTTGATTGATTAGTTCGAACGAATTAAGCATAGAGCGATAAAAGAAACCTTCATTAGTAGAGATAACATTAGATAATCATGTTAAGTTATCAATTGTAACTTTTTATTTATTTAGATGTCATTTACCAAATATTATTATTAATTATAGCTAAAACAACTATTTATTTAATATATTAATGGACAGTCATAACCAATGATCACCAAAAAAATCAATTGTATTAATACCTCTACCTTTAGCAGTACGGTATCCAAGCTGGTGAAAAAATAAGTTTAAGATTAAAATTCTAATCTTACCAAGCGAATTTTAGGACAAATTATAGTACTATATAGTACTATCTACATGGCTTTAAGGAGATCATATAGTACATAATTTTTAATTATTGATACATATTGTAAAACATTATTAAATAGATGGTGTAGTACGAGAAAGGGATACTTTTATAAATTGTACTATTTGGCATTTTTGTGTAGTTCTAAATTTCACAATGCAGACACTCGAAAATACAGAAATCTTTTTGATTTTTTATCCTATTGTAATTTTCAAAAGTTTGTTGTACTCTTTGGACAAATCTAATATTCAAAATACACAACTCGACCACACCTTACTAATCGATATGTGTATCGATATGTGTAATCAATTGTGATCAAGTCAATTGATCACTTACACAAAAACTCCTTCTATTAAGAGAGCAACGTATGAATCCATTACAAGAGAAAAAAACTATCTTTGTATCGTATGGTTAAAAAATTGTACTGTCCGTCCATCGAGACTTTTTTTTCTTTATAGACATTAATATAGAATTGGAAAAAAAGATTCCTCTCGTAAGGCGAATCATACTGACTGCTCCTTCTCTCTCAGCTGTACTTATATTATGCATGCATATACAACCTATATGTACAGCCTCGTGGGACCCCAAAAAGCTTCGCTTCACGTAGGCAAGACCTCTACCTTTCACCAGCGGCCAAGTGCCTCCAATTTTATTGTCCTCCTCTCATCTCTTTTCTCTCCCCTCAGACCATCGCGTGTTCGAGCACACGCGTTCCATCCCTGTCTTCTTCCGCGATTACGAGCCACGCCCTCGGCAATTTTCCGTTGCGCAATATTAAAATAGAAAAGAGCGTAGGGACGAAAAATCGCGCGCTCTCGCCACGTATACGTCGTGACGTAATTCGCCTACTTGGGGCTCATTATTTTGGGCACGTGGGCACGCGTGCCAGGCTTTGAAAATTTTCATTTTCGAGCCTCCCATTCACGGGATCTCGCGATGCTAAACACTAGCTCTTGGTTGATGATGTTCTCGCGCGCCCGAAACCCTCAGTAGTTGTATGGTTCTCGAAATTTACTCACCATCGTTCTTTTGCATTGATCGTGTGAGTGGAAAAAAAATGTCTCTGTTAAAATATTGATTTTGATCATCAGACGTCACAAAATGGCCTCTTCAATTGGGGGTATCACACCTGCGCTTACTGATCAGTTGCGTAACCGAGCACTCTCGAGCGTAATACATATTTCGCTCGCAGGGAAGCGGTTACACGGTTTTTCGTGATTAACACGAGAATGAGTACTCATACATGTAAGGTACAAATGGGCCGACACCGGGGCTGAATCTCTCCCCGTGATTGCGCGAGTGAGAAGTTAGGAGTGGATGATTCGCCGACTTTTTTTCTCACGGAAGTCTAGCTCCGTAGTTTCTGTAGTTATGGCACGCGAGTGCACGAAAAAGCACTGGAATCTTTCATCTCCACGTTTCTATACGTCGATGAAGAACGTGACGAGTGTACATACCAAAGAATCAATGCATCGCATGACCTCAAATTTGGCTGTTGGGCCAACAAACGCTGTATGTACAGTTATAAAACAAAGCCACTTATATGAAACAAAATGATAATTTGTAGAAAAAAGTAAACTTCATTTTGTTACAACAATAAACTTTTTGGTCCTTGACAGTCAAATACATCAATTTGTCAAACTCACGCGCGTTGCAACAAATCAACACCCCTCGACGTGGCTTTGCCCGCTCTCATCTATAACATGATGTTCCACATATACTTGCTCTCGATCGTGCTTGAACATAATATTTTTCTGCTAAACTGTTAATTTCAGAATGTACAAAATAGCCACCCACTTCCTATATGCTTTACAATAGTATAATGTTGGAAATGATTAATTTTTTTTTATTTGTTAAATTGTAAGCGTTCAACGAAAAAGTCAAATTACCATTTAAGTATTGGAGCTCGCGACATGATTATAGACTCCGTTGGTGTAAAAATATGACGTGCAACCCTTGGCTTGACAGCGAAATCTCGCAACCTGGATGTACTTACACATTTCCCCTGGGGGAAATCGCTCATGACAGCCCATCTTGGGTCGCTATCGGCAGTTCTTCTGTAAGTAATCGTTAACAGCTTGTTTGAGGTAGTTCTAGCATGTACTCGACTATGGAAGTTGAACGAGCGTCAAGTCTGCCAACCGAGTCTGTAGGTGTTCATGTCTCTTTCCTCTCATGTGCTTTGAATTGGATTTTGAGATGACCAAAGTATACTTCATGCCCTTAGTTCATGTTATACCCTTACTCATTTTCGTTCAAGTCTAAACCGCACTTTTTTACACTTTCCATAAGAGCCTACGTTGAACTCGCGTATATTAAAATAGCCATACATTTTTCCGTCGCCGTGTATAATATACTTAAATTGGCTCAGCAAATTTTAATTCAGCCTTTGATCTTCAAACGAGCCTAATTTCATTAAAACCTTAACCGTAAATAGAGTAACACGGTATACTATCTATACCTAAAGTTCAGTTCTTCTAATGCAGAAATCACCTGAGTCCGTTATTTATTTTTATTTTACGTTTACCGAAAAATGCATTCGAACGACCGTGAGTTATTGAAACGCATCAATAAAGTGGGTCTTAAACGTTTCCATCTTATTGGAGCCTTGCACAATTTGAAACTAAAAAATTTAAGTATTTAGTAATAATGAAAGTCACACTGTATACATTCAAGTCATTTAATCGTAAACTGACCCCTTATTAGTTTCAACTAATACAAAAAAATTGTATGCATGTAAAAATTTTTTAGTAAGTGGGCTCAATGGTCGTTAATTCTGTTTTGTTCAATATATTGTCGAAAAACGTGTGAAACAATTTTTTGCATTTAATATGTTAAGTTTAAATGAATCGTAAAAGTGTTTGGAATTAATATACTTATACTATGTGAAATGACGATGTTTTGGGAACCTCCGTCGGTTCGGTACTTTTTTAATCAATTGCAAAAAAAAAAAAAAAAAAAAAAAACATGTATTTGCTTTAATATCCAACAATGTCCTTTCATGACCATAAAATTACAAAAAAATAGACCACAAATTTTCCAAAAGTTAGTAAATGCAATAGAAGGTCCTTTAGGAAATTTTTTACAAAAAACTTATTAGCCATTGTAATTCAGTTTGACAAGAGCACTTGTAACATAACAGAATACCCGTTAAGAACTCAATGCTCGATAAGCGTGCACGATCTGTGCGTAATCGAGAGCATTTCAGTTGCACATTTGCGAAATTGGTCCACAATGACCAACACCTATACATTATAGCCATTTTTCCAAAAGATCTTCTTTTACATTTATTAACAACTTGCAAACAGTGTTATGACCGATCTCATTGAAAATTTTGTGCGCACGTTGCAGCTTATCTAACTCACATTCTATCGAGATTTCAAGTCGTAATATGGTGTACAACGCGGGTTATACATTTTTCAAAAACAAGGTGAAAATCATATTTTTTTTTTTTTTTTTTTTTTAATTCATCCAAAAATACTCATTGAATATGGGTTGCGGAAAAGGCCTGAAAACACATTTCGAAATTAAAATTTCGTGCTATACGGTATTTGTGCTCGAGTGGTACAGCACTGCATGATGGTATTATAGCCTATTATAGCCTACTGTCGGTAAGAAACAACAGTTGCTGCTGGTAAGCTAAATACCTAGCTAGATTTGGTAATCAAAACAATCAACAAATACTTGGTAGTTTCCTAACCTCAAGTTTTGTGTGTCATAAAGTCAAGTACAAAAAACAATAAACAATGAATTATATTGGACGACAGTGTTTAAAAATATTAAAGAGCGACATAACAAACAGGAGTCACTTGCTTGGTCTTGGAAGATTACTCTCATACAAGAGTGCTTATGCCCTGGAGAATTTGTATCCAAAAAGTAATCTCAACTTGTACACACCCCAATTTGTAAGTTAGTTTATTTACCTTCACCTTATCTAGATGTATTTTCTTGACTTATATTATTGATAAGTAATGAATTTTTCATAAAAATCGTACATCTCACGTCAATCACTTTTTCAATACATTAGACTTTGTACAGATAAAGCATGTGTCCACATAACATTAATGTCTGTGTTTTTCCAGGCACCTGAAGATCCAAACACAAAATTCTCTGGATACATACCTCTGAAAGAGCTGGATGTCACTTACAGTACCAGCAGTGGTCCAGGAGGACAGAATGTCAATCGAGTAAACACAAAAGTGGATTTGAGGTTCCACGTTCAAAGTGTCACATTCATCGACGATGAGATCAAGAAAAAATTATTCGAAAAGGTTTCACCCACCCGATGTTTCTGCATCATATAACTTGAAATGTGAAACCATAGTTTACATGTTGATTTTGTTGTTTTTAGCATAGCAACAGGATAAACAAACATGGATATTTTGTGATAAAGTCAGAGCTGACACGATCGCAGCAGCTGAACATGGCAGATGCCCTACAAAAGCTCAGGCAAATAATCAGAGAACTCATCGTTGTACCTGAGGAGCCATCGGAACTGGCCCAAGAGAAGATGAGGAAAAGAGAAGTCCGCGCAGCTCGAGAGAGGGTGTTTGCAAAGAGGATGAGGTCACAAGTCAAAAACGACAGAAGAGCTCTGACTCATGATTGAATGTGAATTTTTCACAGTTTGTAAATAAAATATATAGCTTACTAAAGGAAACTATCCAATAAAAACTTGATAAGAATTATACACAATAATAACGTTCGAGTTGAAATCTTTACCTCATTACGTTGTAATGCAATTATGTATTAGCTACCTAAACCAAAATAGTTCAAGTCTAGTCTATAGATCAGATAGGTAAGGTGGGTCGATATGGGTGAACTTGATTTTTCGCGTCACCAAGGTAACAATCGAACGTTCAAAAATGTAAACATTGGGATGCAACACACATGTTTTGCTCTCGTGCCTGGAAACACAATACTTGAGTCTTTTATTCATATCAGAGTGTAGAAATAATAACATTTCGTCTGTTCTTTGCAACAATGTCCTACCGCGAGTTGAGAGGTACGTACAGTTAAACGCACAGTTTTCGTGGTTTATTTGTGAATTCGCTGAAATTTTACCACCAACAGATTTTACGGAAATGATGCGCGTCCTGGGTTATCCCAGGCTGATCTCCCTGACGAACTTCCAGCACCCGAATTTTCCCTTGGTCGCCGAAATTCTCGTGTGGCTCGTCAAGAGGTTCGACGATGACGTTATTGTACCCCTCGAGCACAGCACGGAGCAGGAGCGAGTTGCCCTCGTCCGTTACGTCGCTGAATTCATGGTTCGTTAATATTGTTTTTCACAATTTTTATTTCCATCGGTTCTTTTTCTAATTTTTAACAGCGCCAGTACTGAAGAAAACATCGTTGATACGTTTCTGAAAGTATTTTTTTTTTTTTTAATTATTTGGAGAATAAATAAAGCATAATATAGCACTTTTCTATACGATAATACTTACATTCAAACTTCAAATTGTTCTCAAACTTTTTAAGTTCGAAAGTACGGTACTTTTCACCCTGTGTACATGGATACCGAATAACAAAAAAATAATTGTTTAACTTGAGTACGGCTTTTCGTGTACAATTCTTCAAATTTTTTAAAACTATTTTGCCGTACGTGTATCATTAAGATAAATATGTTTCATGAAGCAAATTTTTTGATTCATCTTTTACACTGCATAAAATCGTATGTTGCTCAGAGTTTATTGCAAATTTGACTGCAACAAGTCTGTTAATTATTGTAAATTGTACCGAGAAAAAAGTTATAGCAACGAAGAAACATGTAATGTATATTTATATTATTAGTGTATAAGTTTCCTTGAAAAATTAATAGGTATATTCGTTATAGAAGTAGAAACACAAAGAATAAATAAAAAAATGTTAATAATTATATGAATAATTTGTATACATGTGTAGTAAATTACATATTTTACTGCCGTAATAAGATTCAATAACTGAATAATTCGAGAATAATCAATAATAAATTTGATAAAAACCAATAATAAGAAATAATACAGTACAGATTTGAGACTTAGAAGAGAATCTAACAACTGTCATTATTAGTCGTTATGAGTTTTTTTTTTTTTTGTTATAAACGATACATCGCAAGACTTACAAATAAAACTAACAATAACTATTAAAAGATATGATTAACTGAAACTCATAGTTTCCACTTGGTATGTATTTTTTGTTATTAATTATTAAAACAATTTTGAACAACGGATAAAAAATTCTATTTATTTATATTAATTAAGTCTATAGAAGATTATTAACTATCTAAAAAAATAGTAAGAAAATAAAACTAAATTTTTCAATTCAATTATTACAAAAAAAATAATAAACAAATAAAATAACCACTCATATTAGTTTTTATTTTTGATTTTCCTTTATAAACGATTAAATGAATGAGATGATTTTCGATTTAATAAAATTTTTACACTATGACTTTGTATTAAAATTTATGTATGCGCATATGTGATATAATTAACATCGCAATCATTATTAAAAATTGTATTTCACAAGGAAATGAAAAAAAAAGTTGACAAAACATCATCTTCAACAAATTCAATGTAACATTGTAGATAAAATCGGTGAACATAAGACTGAACACGAAAAAACTGTACATGGCGGACAGTCAAGCGGTGCCGGAGCTCCTGAAGATGACGTCCCTCCTGTACGAGGCCCAGTCTCAGGACACGGCTGAGCTGATGTCGGCCGAGAACGACGCGACGATAAACTTCGACATCGCTGACAAGCTGAACGACCTGAAAAACACGAGGCAACTCGCGAGCCAGTTGACCAGCAGTGGGGCGTCGTTGTACGAGCTCCTCGGCAGGGAACCCGAGCTCCGGCAAATCCGCGGTGCTAAGCTGGCCAGTCAGCACGACACAACGGAGGTCGAGGCTGCCCTCAAGGCGGTAGTCGAGGGCACCAAAAGGGAGATCCAGGAGACCAAGGACCAGATCGAGAACGTCAAGGTATCGTTTACTACTTGCTGTACTTGTGTGTACGTGTATGCGGTGAGTGGGGACGTTTTTTTGGAAGAAACATTTTTTGTATAGATTTAAAAAAAATGTCTGGACATCTACGTAAAACACCGATCCATGGATTCCTATCGATAAATCAATGATTAAAATATGAGATCTGAGTATAGCGTCAAGGTAGATGTATCTCAAAATTTCTGGACTTAAAAAAAAAAAATTACATTATCCAGTAAAACCAAACGGAGTGATTTCGTTGAATGTGATTGTCACGTTTACAAGGTAAAATGTTAATTTTTATCAACTTCCTTTGTTGATCTATCAACACAACGTTCGTATCGTATACAATTTTTAAACAACAGTTTTAAACTATAATCCAAACATATGAGCTAAGAGTTCATTGTTTTGCTAACTAAATACCTTTAAATTAAATAATTGTAATCAAGCAGTAATAAATACTTACATAATACTAGCAAAAATTTAGAAACAAACACATCTTCTGCACGGTACACAATTTTTTCAACAAATTCAAATAGCTAAATTATTAAGAGTGCCATTTCGTGGTATATAAGATAGGGTCGAATGTAGGTGTTCTTAACACTTTTTTTTAAATAACCCCGAAAATTCTAATAAATCATCTAAAGAAATCATCAATTTACTGCTTGAATATGATAATAGCATCAATCTCACGGTGATTACATATTTTTTACTTAGCAATGAATAACAAATTATTAAAAAATACATATCTCTTAACATAACAAAATATAAATTAAATTTTTTTAATAAGTCTCTGTAATAATGTTTGTGTGATAAAATTTTTTTTAAAATGGGTTGAATAGTTATAAAAATTACTTGTGTTTCTGTTTTTTTATTGCAGATAAGAAATAAATTTTATTAAAATTAAAACTTAATCAGATATTTCTACCGTTTATCGTTTCCTAATAATGTTAAATATAATTGAAAGGCCACAACTAGTATATACAAAAACTATTTTTCTGTCAATTTGGAAAAAATATTGTTTAATTTTGGCGCTTGTTTTTATTCTCTTTTCACGTTTGATAAAATTCATTGTCGACTGAAAAACAACGTTTTTCCTGAGTAGTTGTTTTTAATCCAAAATATCAATACTTAATTATGTCAACTAAACAAATCCATCCACTTTGACGTTAATAACTGTACGAATAAATATCTAAAGGTAAATTGTCAAAATGAACTTTTTATGTTCTGAAAAAGTACTTATTCTACCCGTACACTACTTACAAGCGTACCTTGCGTTTTTGGGAAAATCAAGACTTGGAAAAAAAATGACAACATATACAATGAAAAACACACGCGGGTTCTAGGGCACAGAGCAGAATTTGGACATGCGGATAGAGCGACGAAAGACGGAGCTGGAGCGCAACCAAAAGCGCCTACAGACGCTCCGTAGAGTTCGGCCCGCCTTCATGGAGGAGTTTGAAAAGCTCGAGGATGAGCTCAAAGTCTTGTACGACGACTACTTGCAGAAGTTTCGGTATCTCGCTTACCTCGAGCACGTATATGATGATGCAGCCAAGGTCGAGCAGGAGAGGTTCGAACACAGGTAATTTTTTGCCATTACTTGACACTTTATCTGTCAACCGATAAGTACTTAATTTGTGCTATGCTGTACAATTTTTTTTTTTTTTTTTTTTTTTTTTTTTCGACACAGACAAGCAGCTATGAAAAAACAGCTGGAGCAGTTGCGCATCGATGACGCCAACATCGAGGGTATAATGGAGGGTAACGATGCTCTTTTCAATACAAATTTGCCGAACTCGATCAATCTCGGCGAATCCGAAAAGAAGCCAGTGGAAAACAGTACACAAGGTAAGTGCGCATAACATTATAAGGGGAATATATTGTGTAAAACTTTATAAACATTTCATTCCAATATAAATTTTTACTTACTTTATTAAAAGAGTGCGCGTGTAAATAATAAACTTTATTTATACTAGTGTGTTTGAAATAGTAGTTAAATTTTCTTTTTCAATTAGCCACTACGTATTACAAAAAGTTGAAGCCATTTAAATAAAATTTACAATTGACAAGACTTGAACTCGATCTTTTTAAGGAGGTTGGATACATATCATCGACAATAGTTGGGGGCTCTAATTTAGTTATTAATTCATTCTATGTGTTATAAAAAAATTAACGTTATTTTTTTAGGCGATCTCAGCCATGTAGTTATTAAGATGTTTCAAAATAAAAAATGAACAATTCAACACGGGCTGTTATGGGAGCAATGTTGACCTAAAAATAACATTCCTTAGTAACAGTTAAAAACTCGTCAAAAATATATTTTGATACTTTAAATACTGCAGATTCATATGATCATCTGATTTTTGTCAGTATCCAGACTATTAATGAAGAAAATCACGACTTTTTTTAAAAAAAATGAAAACTTTGGTTAGGTTTATAATATGGATGCGTGTATTCCATCAGAATAAGCCATATTACGTTCTGTCGGTAATGCTGTGTTGCTGTGAGCTTCCCACACTCTTGACCTGTTTTACCTTTCCTCTAAAAGATTGCATCTAACTTCCTTCAATAAAATATACGTAAGATTCAATTAAATGGTAAATTTTTTAACGATATTTTATTGAAAGTTTATATATATTTATGTATATATATTTGAAGGCAGAAAAAAAGAGTATATTACGTACGAGTTTGCAAAGGCTTTGATTTACAAACCAAGAGGTTTACGGCACGAGCCGAAGGCAAGGGCCGTAACGAGGTTTATAAAGAAGCCTTTTCGAACGAGTTTCGTGTACTATTTTTCCACCTGATAACCCAAAATCAAGCGGCGAAGGTGCTATTTTGAGGTTAGAAGGCGGAAAAAGAACTTTTTTTTCAGTTGTATTTATCCCAACACAGTTCGAATGTTCATACTTTGATCGGAAAACATACATTTCTACATTAGAAGTTTTTGTGTGACTTTATCACTAGTATAACAAGCAAAATTTGTGGTCCGTATGTGTATCATTAAATTAATAGGCTCATATATAGATAGAAGTACTGTTCCAAACACTCTTAGCCCATCCCGCTCATCCACGTCCTTTTTTGCTTGTTATACCAGTGATAAAGTCACACAAAAACTTCTAATATCTAAATTCATCATTCAATTACTAAAACATACATTTCTGTCGGCCACAGACGCACGGAAGTCGGCGAGAGTCAACGTGTCGCAGCGACGTATCTACGGCAGCATGTCGGGCCGACGCCGCGGAGCGACGACTCGCGGGACGAACGGGAGCGCGGGCTCCTCGGACTCAGATAGCGACCTGCTGATCGACAATATCGACGACGAGGACGACGAGGAGGAGGACCTGCTGGACTCCGTGGGCCCAGGCGCCGATGACTTCAACACGAAGACGATCGAGGAGAAACGGGCCATCAGCAAAATCGACCACGCAGACGACGAGTTTTAAAATGGAGCGATTTGGCGGGAAAATGAAACGAGGAAGTTGAGTGTGTGTTGATTTTTATTACGAATATCGTAGACGGCGAAAAAATCGGCAGATTTTATTTCGCTCGTTATTACAAGTACTTTTATTTTTTCTTACAGAATCAAACGCAGCGGGTCATCGGACCGAACAATCGGTTACACTTGAGGGTCGACGATGGTTCCAACAAGCATTGCATTGTAAGCTCGTTAATCGTGATCAGCCTATGTTTTTAATTTTGCTTCAAAATATTCGTCCCACTTGATTAGGCAAACGAAAAAAATTTGGGTGTGCAAAAAGTCCACGGAGCACCACTATGTGTCAGCTCGGTTTCACGCTCCTCTCGTTCCGTTGGCGCAATCAAGTTGTGACGCGGATCGCGTCGATCACAAGCAAAGTCATCGCCGTACGGTCAAAAAAAGTAATATGATCGACTGCTACTTTTATACCGTACTTATTCAGTGTATGAACAATTTTTTTATTTTTAATGATATAAATATATAATTATGCGTGAAAATTCTTACGATACACATCATCCTGCGCCGAGATCATGTAATTGAGAGTGTGATTTCAATGTGACGTAAGGAATGTACGAAAAAAATGTAACGTTGACCGATTACTTATATTATTAACTGAAATCATTCAAAAAGGCTAAAAAATTTGGTTGCCACGTACGTTTCAAATTGTTTATTTGCTATGCGCCTGTGTCAGGTTGCGCCGTCGAGTGAGAGAAATTGTCCCTTGCTAAGATCGCCAGAATGCATGCATAGAGCTTTCCAGGAAACATTTTTAATAAATTGAAAAAAAGGTTATTAGGAGTGAATTGATCAAATAAATCAGTAATTTGAGTGTGTATTACGTCAGTGTACAATAATAAATTTAGTTTGGTGTCGTCGTATGTACTACAAGATTGGAAAAAATAAAAACATGGATTGCGACTCTGCTAACACAGGATATATATGTGTATACACATGCTTGCACTTGTATGGAGCTCGAGAAACAAAAGTACTGCTTACATTTATCTATTTCTCCCAACACAGTGTATGTTGGGTTTCAATAAATGTAAATACTAATGACAGGTTAGGTTAACTTTTACACATTTATAATACGTTTCCGTGAATTACTTGTGTTATTTAAGCTGTACACAAGTGTAAGCATGTAAATGCACTCAAATATGCTGTGTTACCACAGTCGCAATACATGTTTTTATTTTTTCTAATCTTGCGGTACACGTAATAACACTAAACAAAAGTTATTACTGTACATTAACATTATACACACTCAAATTACTGATTCATTCGGTTAATTCACTCCTCATAACCTTCTTTAAATTTATCAAACATTTTTTCTGTAAAGCTCCATGGCGCCACCTCATATAGGCGCATAGTAAATAGGTCTGTTCGCAATTGATGCTTCAGTTTTAGGTTGGTATATACCCCCCACCTCTATTAATATTATTTACACCGTTTGGGCAATCAGCTTATTCGAGCACGTGGTGATGACCATAATCTTCCAAAACTGTTAAAAAACACTCCAAAACTTTCTTGAATCGGCTAATTTACAATATGGTGTGAATACACGCTATTGAGTAAAGGTGGGGGTTAACACCAACCTAAAAGCAAACTAAAACGTCATTCGCGAATAGGTCCAAGATCATACACGATGCTAGCACTGCAAACTAATGACACTGCATTCTCTAGAGACTTTATACTAGCTACTTAATTATTGTTTTGAACAGTAACAGTTAGTGTGTAAAGAGTGAAAAGTTTGCAGATAATGGAATTATACCAATTTACAGTGTTGACGCAAACGTTTTTATTAATATCTTTCTCTCATTGATACATACCTACTAGTACTTCCACAACTAGGAATCTTTTTAACAAAACCTCATCGTGTGAAACTTGGAAATAGGCAGTAGTGTTTATCAAATTTACTCCAAGTCAACAAAAGTTAACAATGTAACAGATAAGGTGTATAATAGCGCTTTAATAACATTTTCGTAAACGTGTATACATACATTGTGAATAAATTCAGTTAATTCTCTTGGCCATCCCGTTCAGCAATTGCCAGATTAAATATTAGTCAGGAATTTCACAAAAATTCATTAAACAAAAGTTATTTTAATGATCTTTCCTTTGATGAGCAAGAACAACGAATAATAATCTTTTTTATCGCGTACTTACATACTACACATTACCTTTATCGAGACTCTTTGCAGTAAAAAAGAGACATGTTTTACGTGTCAGTTTATACATATGTTTTCGACTTATGACATATATTTTTCCATTTTCTCATCTGGAATGTGAAAAATCATACATTTATCTATAAGAGGTACATACTCTTTCACGCCATTGTCAAGAGTTACTCTAAGTGTAAAATCTTAAAATAATTTTTACCAAGATTTTATACACGCAGATGTAGCACAATACTAATTCTATATGCGGATATGCGTAATAACGTCTGTTCCAACTTTACATCGTACGACTCGATGCAAACTATATTTTTTACCAAAAAAAAAAAGTCATTATAAGTTTATTGAGGTTATAAAAACTTGAATTTTTTTTTGTCTCAGTGATTGAACACAAAGTCGTATTTTGTTTATAAAAAAAAAATAAAAAAATAAAAAAATACAAGTGGTCAGTTTCTCAGGTCTCATACGGTATTTGAAACTTATAAATACTTGCATCTGATAACGTGATCCAGTTCGTACATTTTTTATTCTAATTCTTGTATTATCTCATTTTAAGTTTTTTCAAGATAAATTTTTCATTTTTATCATGAAAAAATTCAATTAAATTTATGAAAAAAATACGTATGTTGTTTGAATGTATTTATTTTAATTGAGAATTAGTCGACTGAGTAATACTTTACTGTCAATGATAGTAGAATAATTTATCTCATGTAAAAAACCAACTTGTGTTTTATGTTTCTCATTAATCTTTTCACTTGTAATTACTGTAAATAAATAATTTACATGATTTTATGACATAAAATCGTGGCGCCTTTTATTTTACAACTCTTCGATAACGTTTGTCCTTAACCACCTTTACGTATACTTTTTACATCACTTAATATGTGTCGCCGTACGAATACCTAAAAATTATCAAGGACCTCATAAACGTTGTTCTTTAAAAAATGCAAAAAAGCACCTGAGCTACAAGCTCTTTTTATTATTTTTTGTGCAAGCTTTCAGCCCTTCGTTGCCTCTACCTTGCTTTTTTTTTCATTTTGTTACAGTTTTTTTTCCTACAGAAAGTCGAGGTTTCCTAATGGTATAAAAATATTTGCTATTCACATTAACGGCCTCGAATCAATTTTTCAGACTCGAGTGAGTCTTTTATTGAAGTTGTCCTCTCTGTTTATCATTTGATCCTGTTTTCAATTAATCAAAATTTTTTTTCATGAGCAAACGAAATATATGGATTCAAAGTATATGGATGGCGTCAAAGTAATTTGTTTGCCAAACTTTCAAAGTATTCCAATCTTAGATGTATTCATACTTAAAAAATAATATAGATGAGTTATACGTAGATTTAAAATAACTCTTGCAAAACAATTTCTTTACGGATTAAATTTTTCTATTTGCTTTAAAAACGACATTATTCAAATGAATGCTTGAAAAAGTTTTAATAATTGTAAAAAAAAAGATCTACATTCTTACGTCTTATTCTTTATCACTTATTTCTGAGTGATACAGAGGTCATGGAAAAATGTAAAATATGTATTTGAAAGGCGCTCGTAGCATATGCGTATACAAGCAATATCGCAAGAAATTATTCATTAGTTGGCTCTAAATAAATAAAAATAAAATTCTTACTAAAATCATGACGGTCACTGGGTTCACTTGGCAGTACCAATATCATAACAATAGCTTCAAACGTGAACTAAACGCTTAATTCCAATTTTTGTCATTATTATATTAAGAGTAATTTCGTGTGATATAATCGTACGCAAGCTCTCTTAAAAAGTGCCTCATGTTGCCTCGACCAAACTTTTTAAAAAAATAATCTCGTTTACTCCTCACTGACTCAAATGACTTTGACAGCTTTGAAATACTGGATTATGTGTTATGTACACTTACATCCCGTTTTCATGCGTTCAATTTAACATTTACAAGTTTTCATCGAGTATTTTTGCATATGGAAGAAACGCTGTTTACGACTTTTATTCAAAACTTGCAAGTATTCTTAATAACCCAACGTATACAAAGTAAACGAATTTACAAACGAATCGCACATATTGCATTTCGATTGCAAAGTCGCTCCACTATTTTATTTATATATTATACAAAAGTAATAATACCGTTTAAGATATTGTACAAACTTATTAACAATGGTACATGTATAGCTTAAATAAACTTTGGAGTAACCCACGCGAGCGTACAAGACATTTCATGGGCGTACAAAAAAAACCCTCGTTGGTAACATTCTGATATGACAAAGTACCCTCTAAATTAAATACAAACATACCATGCCATCCACAACGCTCTGAGTAGCGGAGAAACCAGTAACTAAGAAAAGTCAGTTGAAGTCCCTGTAGTGATCCTCATGGAAATCAACGACGATCTTGATCTTAACCCGCACTAGGTAAAAAAAAAAAAAAAAAAAAAAGTTACCTCGCGTAGTTATAAAAGTAGGTTCTCGCAAGTATGGGTCTACCAGTAAAGTTGGCCAGCTGCCCGAGCACAACAGCAGCGAGGTCGTCGACAGCCTCCTCCTCCTCGATCCTGACTCTCTCGGTCCAGCGGCCCGCTGTACCATCAAGTGGCAGATCATGCTGCTACCTCGTCGTTCTCTCGGGCGCCGTTTGCTTGGCCAACAGCTCGTTGTACCCCGGCACGGGCTCGAGCTCGGGGAGCCGGCCGTCGCAGGAAGCTCGCAGCGCCCTCCAGGTGGCCTCGACCTGCTCGGCCAGCCGATCCAGGTACTTGTAGGCGGTGTGGTCGACGACCGAGGCCGTCTTGACGCAATCGTCGCCGCCGAACTCGCAGACCCTGTAGTGGTGGAGTATGGCGGCGTCCGCGGGTACGTTGGCGGTGCCGTGGCCGGGCACGAATTCCCAGACGAAGTGGTTGCCGGTTTCTATGACGTCACGTGGCCGGCAGACATATTTGCTGCGTTGCTTGTGCGGGTGGAGCTTCGAGCGTCGTCGGGTTTTGCGCAGCGTCACGAGGCCCGCCTCGGTGGCGCGGCTCGAGGTCGTCACCATGGGGTCGTCCGGCCACTGGAGGTAGAAGAACGCGTTTTGGAACGAGTAGGCGCCCGTTGTCTTCGTGTTGACGCGGCTTCCCATCCATCTGTGGAATCATCAATACATGTTTTCTTATTTTTTTTTTTTTTTTTCCATTATACATAGTTTATTTTAATATAGTAAATATTTTTTTCATTATAGTTAAGAAAATGTTATTATACAAATCATCCCTGACGGACAAACCATGTGACTAGTCCTAACCAATCACATAACAAATGAAAAGGTTTGAGTCACGTGACAATAAATCTTTTAAAATGAGGAGTAGGTATTAAATACAATTTAAATTTTAATATTGTCTTTTTCATCAATGCTAATAGTCATTAAAAAACGTCACCTTTTTAATTACAAAATATGCAATGTAAGAAATAATTTTTTATGATTTAATTAATCTATTAACTTTAGTTAGATGAGTATTTATAACAGCTTGTTATGGTGATACTTCGAGCTTATTTAATTAATTCAGTTGCCGTCGTTGCCGTGAAAGAATAAGACATTTTAACAAAAGGGCATGTGAAGTTGAAGTGCCTCGAGCGATTTTTTTATTTAAACATTGTATATCTAAAGGGAGGGGTACAAAAAGATGTTTTTATGACAAATTTAAGGTCTCTAGAATACTTTTGGCAGGTGTGATCGGTCAAGACGTCTTTTTCAGTTTATTTTCAATTTACTCAGCTTAGAGAGCAAAAAAATTCTGAAAAAAATTAACAAAGATGCGCGTTTGAATAAAAAGTAAAAAAAAGTTCTTTTTAATTTTTGGCACTCAATTTAAAATTTTATAAAATTTAAAAATTGTTCAACAATTTAAATAATACTGTTTTTTCGAGTAGTTTAACAAAAAATTCTATAAAAAAAAACATTTTTTCCATTA